ATTGTCTGGAGTTTGTCAGAAAAAAGGGAGAGAGGTAGAGGATTTGAAAAAACGACCCAAGCTCCTCCCCCTTCCTTTCTGATTGGTCTACGCCTACGTTTCCATAACACATTTAAATGTTAATCAGAGAACACAATATACTTATACATTATTAATACACATGCACGGAGGTCTTCAGAATTATTTGTTAACGTTTTCATGACAAAAATAATGTTTTAATATATCGGTTCAGTATATAAATGATTATGGATATAGGTTCAGTATATAAATGATTATGGATATAGGTTCATATATAAATGATTATGGATATAGGTTCATATATAAATGATTATGGATATAGGTTCATATATAAATGATTATGGATATAGGTTCAGTATATAAATGATTATGGATATAGGTTCAGTATATAAATGATTATGGATATAGGTTCATATATAAATGATTATGGATATAGGTTCAGTATATAAATGATTATGGATATAGGTTCATATATAAATGATTATGGATATAGGTTCAGTTTATAAATGATTATGGATATAGGTTCATATATAAATGATTATGGATATAGGTTCAGTATATAAATGATTATGGATATAGGTTCATATATAAATGATTATGGATATAGGTTCATATATAAATGATTATGGATATAGGTTCATATATAAATGATTATGGATATAGGTTCAGTATATAAATGATTATGGATATAGGTTCATATATAAATGATTATGGATATAGGTTCATATATAAATGATTATGGATATAGGTTCAGTATATAAATGATTATGGATATAGGTTCAGTATATAAATGATTATGGATATAGGTTCATATATAAATGATTATGGATATAGGTTCAGTATATAAATGATTATGGATATAGGTTCATATATAAATGATTATGGATATAGGTTCATATATAAATGATTATGGATATAGGTTCATATATAAATGATTATGGATATAGGTTCATATATAAATGATTATGGATATAGGTTCAGTATATAAATGATTATGGATATAGGTTCAGTATATAAATGATTATGGATATAGGTTCATATATAAATGATTATGGATATAGGTTCATATATAAATGATTATGGATATAGGTTCATATATAAATGATTATGGATATAGGTTCATATATAAATGATTATGGATATAGGTTCATATATAAATGATTATGGATATAGGTTCATATATAAATGATTATGGATATAGGTTCATATATAAATGATTATGGATATAGGTTCATATATAAATGATTATGGATATAGGTTCATATAAAAATTATTATGGATATAGGTTCATATATAAATGATTATGGATATAGGTTCAGTATATAAATGATTATGGATATAGGTTCAGTATATAAATGATTATGGATATAGGTTCATATATAAATGATTATGGATATAGGTTCATATATAAATGATTATGGATATAGGTTCATATATAAATGATTATGGATATAGGTTCAGTATATAAATGATTATGGATATAGGTTCATATATAAATGATTATGGATATAGGTTCAGTATATAAATGATTATGGATATAGGTTCATATATAAATGATTATGGATATAGGTTCATATATAAATGATTATGGATATAGGTTCATATATAAATGATTATGGATATAGGTTCATATATAAATGATTATGGATATAGGTTCATTTATAAATGATTATGGATATAGGTTCAGTATATAAATGATTATGGATATAGGTTCATATATAAATGATTATGGATATAGGTTCATATATAAATGATTATGGATATAGGTTCATATATAAATGATTATGGATATAGGTTCATATATAAATGATTATGGATATAGGTTCATATATAAATGATTATGGATATAGGTTCATATATAAATGATTATGGATATAGGTTCATATATAAATGATTATGGATATAGGTTCATATATAAATGATTATGGATATAGGTTCATATATAAATGATTATGGATATAGGTTCATATATAAATTATTATGGATATAGGTTCATATATAAATGATTATGGATATAGGTTCAGTATATAAATGATTATGGATATAGGTTCAGTATATAAGTGATTATGGATATAGGTTCATATATAAATGATTATGGATATAGGTTCATATATAAATGATTATGGATATAGGTTCATATATAAATGATTATGGATATAGGTTCAGTATATAAATGATTATGGATATAGGTTCATATATAAATGATTATGGATATAGGTTCAGTATATAAATGATTATGGATATAGGTTCATATATAAATGATTATGGATATAGGTTCATATATAAATGATTATGGATATAGGTTCATATATAAATTATTATGGATATAGGTTCATATATAAATGATTATGGATATAGGTTCATATATAAATGATTATGGATATAGGTTCATTTATAAATGATTATGGATATAGGTTCAGTATATAAATGATTATGGATATAGGCTCATATATAAATGATTATGGATATAGGTTCAGTATATAAATGATTATGGATATAGGTTCATATATAAATGATTATGGATATAGGTTCCTATATAAATGATTATGGATATAGGTTCATATATAAATGAGCCCGACGATTGACAGCCTTTGGCATCACCTGATTGGTTAATGTGGACGGCATCGTGAATTTTGAGCTATAGCTAAGAGAAGGGAAGGCGGGACTTACCCGTAATATTATAACTATATCAACATTTAAGGCCAGGAGGTCAATTTAATACAATTCTTAAAATTTGTAATTAATTTAGAGTTCCAGACTATCACTTTAATTTCAAATCCAGAATGCATGATTTCAAATTGTCAATAACTTGTTACGGTCACTGCAGTAAACAAATGCGGTTTAATTTACACATTTAATGTATTAATTGAAACATTCTATTGTTGTCATCTCATTTACACAATTGAAAAGTATTTCATCTGTATATATATATTCAGAGTTTTCTTATTGTCAGACAAGTAGAGCGATCAGGAAGTTCCATGTGTGAGCTAAGGTATAGGCCCCCTCGTCCCTGTTGATGGTTTTTTTTCCCGATCTCCGTATCCTCCCATTGTTTGTATCCCTGTTTTTTCTGTTCCTACTAATTTAGTTTGATCCCAGTCCATGATGTGAGTTTGCCTTTTACCGTGGTCAGATATTGGGATAACACAATCATAGGTCAATACATCTAAACCAGTATTGGATGTTCAATAGATTGCGTTCATGCGATATCACAACATTCAAAAGAGGCTATAGTGCAAAGTTATGGTGGAGGCAGCTGATGCATTCTAATCTTAGTTTTTAGATAATGTCTGTAACTACCTGGCCAAATATTCAGCAGATGTCAGCATTCCATACAGTTTTATTGCTACCTCCAACCTAAATATAATACTAGAACATGAACAACCAAGTATTTTTAATGAAAGCTCTCAAAGCAGAGCCTCAGAGCTGCAGTCAGAAGGCTGTAGAAAACCTAAACACATTTACAATTCAAAACAATTCATTTTCAAGTGATGTTTCCTGAATGCAACATCATGTGAATGCAGGATGCAGCTCTGAGATTAAAAGCCCGATTCCTGCTTTGCCTCTCTTTTCTCATAAAGTAAAAGTTCAGTGCAACACCTGCAGCCTTTTCATCTATTTCCATCCTAAAACACATTTTTCAGTTCTCAGAGAGGGGTAATTTTCTGCCTGGAAGTATTGCGTGTGGCTTGTGGATATATAAAAGCAAGTCGAATGTGGGGTTTTTTTCAGACGTGGAGTGGCGAGCTAACAAAGGCAGCTCTTGTTTGGATAACACAGTTTGTAGCCAAGGCGTAGATCTCCAATCTCCTGCTGATATCTTCCATTCCCCTCTCTCCTCTTTTGAGCTAGTGTGCTTTTTTATGAGTGCGCTGTGCTATCGCCGCAGCAACATGGGTGGATGAGTGATGGAGTCCATTAGTAAACATAGCCCCTATATGTGCCACCGGCCTAAAGATTCAACCTCCTCTTCCCGGTCTTACCTCCGCACCACAGCCGCTCTCCATCCATCGTCCTTACGGTTGTTTTTCATAGCCGCAGCTCTTGCAGCAAAAAGGGGGAGGCTTCACAACCATTTCTCTTCTGCGCTTTGTGAACGCGTTTGGGGCGACTGCAGAACGGGTTGAGAATGTCAAGCGTTGGGCAGGGAATTGCGAGCGCTTCGAACAAAGGAACAGGGCGCCTAATATGACAGATGTTGCGTTTATTGCAGAGAAATAGAAGCTGGGTTGAGTCAATAACTGGAGAGTAAGGAATCTGGCGAAGAAGTCACATTGCTATCGCGTTAATCTAAGTGGATTCCTTTTACAAGGCAATTCACCAGCTCTTTTCAACTTCTACTCAAGCTCCTACTGTACACCGTTGAAAATAAAAAAGCTCATTTCACAATTAGCCTTTCTGCAATTAGCGCAGGGAGGTAATTGCAGCGGATGCGCAATTAGCGTTATGTAAAGTGCTTAGCGCCTAGACTCAGAGGCCAATCACTTTGCCCCTTTCTGCTGCATTCGTGATGATGCGCGAGATTCATACACTAGAACTTCCTCCTCTAACACTTCACACAAAACGGATCAGTCGGGGTCACATGCTCGGCGAGGAAGTTTGAGATCGTCGTCTTTTCATGCGAATACAGGAGAAGAGGCAAATCACTGTCATAGCAGCCGCAGTAGCACAAAGCCCCCTGATTACATTCTGGACTCTTGCATGTTTTTTTCCCCTCCTCCCCATAGAGCGAAAACCAAATGTTCCTGCGCAGCGTGACTGACTCGTTGCCTGATTGCCAAAGAATCTCCGTCCTCTTCCCCACTCCGCTAGCGTTTTATAAAGAGGATCCTTCTTCCATCAGCTCGCATTAGGCTCTTAGTGAAGATGTGCGCTATAGCAACAAATCCAGCGAATCATGTTTTTATTATTTCTCACGGTGGCCATGAGTGTCAACACAACAGCGGTTTCAGTGCTAAACCCTACCTGCTTTTCTCTTTTAGGTCATGCAAGATACAACAGCTCTGCAGTGGGTGTCTTCAACCATTTGGACAGCAACAAGGATGGCAGGTGAATAAATACTGTATGCTGTTGATATTAATAAAGAAAAAACGGTTCTGTTAGTAAAATAATTACTTATTCATGCTAATTTATGTGCTTTTCAAATTCAGTGATTCTCAAATGAAAGGCCATGACCAAAAATGGATGGTTGTAACGGATGAGTAGAATGTTTTATGAGTCTAATTTTGTTTTATGCCTGATACTAGCTAATGATTTCACTGTCACAGAAAAGTATGTAGAAAATTAATTACTTTTGGAAAGGCTAAAATCAACTTTCAGTAAAGAATGATACTTTGCATGTTATCAGGCGCTGGTGTCTTGTTTATGTGGGAGCACATGTGGTAGCTACACATTGCCCTTGGGTATAAATAACTTTATCTAAAACTGGAAAGTCCACCATAGGTTCAGAGGTGTAATAGAATTAATTGGATTTTCCACATCATTGATAGATACTTTATTGATCCCCGTAGGAGAAATGCAGGTGTCCAGTAGCCGCAAAAATCTAAAATTAAACTGATATTTCTAATAAAGATAACAATAGTAATAATCAGCAACAGCCTCAGGTCACAGCAGCAGAGGTGGAGTAGCCTCTGGGTGGAGCAGGACAGGTCACAGCAGCAGAGGTGGAGTAGTCTCTGGGTGGAGCAGGACGGGTCAAAGTAGCAGAGGTGGAGTAGCCTCTGGGTGGAGCAGGACAGGTCACAGCAGCAGAGGTGGAGTAGCCTCTGGGTGGAGCAGGACGGGTCAAAGTAGCAGAGGTGGAGTAGCCTCTGGGTGGAGCAGGACGGGTCACAGCAGCAGAGGTGGAGTAGCCTCTGGGTGGAGCAGGACAGGTCACAGCAGCAGAGGTGGAGTAGTCTCTGGGTGGAGCAGGACGGGTCACAGCAGCAGAGGTGGAGTAGCCTCTGGGTGGAGCAGGACAGGTCACAGCAGCAGAGGTGGAGTAGCCTCTGGGTGGAGCAGGACAGGTCACAGCAGCAGAGGTGGAGTAGCCTCTGGGTGGAGCAGGACAGGTCACAGCAGCAGAGGTGGAGTAGCCTCTGGGTGGAGCAGGACGGGTCAAAGTAGCAGAGGTGGAGTAGCCTCTGGGTGAAGCAGGACAGGTCACAGCAGCAGAGGTGGAGTAGCCTCTGGGTGGAGCAGGACGGGTCAAAGTAGCAGAGGTGGAGTAGCCTCTGGGTGGAGCAGGACGGGTCAGAGCAGCAGAGGTGGAGTAGCCTCTGGGTGGAGCAGGACGGGTCACAGCAGCAGAGGTGGAGTAGCCTCTGGGTGGAGCAGGACAGGTCACAGCAGCAGAGGTGGAGTAGTCTCTGGGTGGAGCAGGACGGGTCACAGCAGCAGAGGTGGAGTAGCCTCTGGGTGGAGCAGGACAGGTCACAGCAGCAGAGGTGGAGTAGCCTCTGGGTGGAGCAGGACAGGTCACAGCAGCAGAGGTGGAGTAGCCTCTGGGTGGAGCAGGACAGGTCAAAAGGTGGAGTAGTCGCTTGGTCCGGGCCATTTTCTCTGCTCTGGTCCAAAGTAAAATGCTAAATGCTTCATCAGCATTTTTCAAAAAGTTAGCATTCCTCCAGATTTTCACCTGATCCACTTGGTTCAGACCATGAATCCTCTCTGCTCTGGTCTGGACCAGTGTAAAACCATGAATCCTCTCTGCTCTGGTCTGGACCAGTGTAAAACCATGAATCCTCTCTGCTCTGGTCTGGACCAGTGTAAAACCATGAATCCTCTCTGCTCTGGTCTGGACCAGTGTAAAACCATGAATCCTCTCTGCTCTGGTCTGGACCAGTGTAAAACCATGAATCCTCTCTGCTCTGGTCTGGACCAGTGTAAAACCATGAATCCTCTCTGCTCTGGTCTGGACCAGTGTAAAACCATGAATCCTCTCTGCTCTGGTCTGGACCAGTGTAAAACCATGAATCCTCTCTGCTCTGGTCTGGACCAGTGTAAAACCATGAATCCTCTCTGCTCTGGTCTGGACCAGTGTAAAACCATGAACACTGAACTGCAGCAATATCTCAGGCAGAAAAAAGCAATAAAAATAAAAATTGTGAAGCACAAACAACTTTTTCAGAGACATTTTGAACTTGCAGCCGTTTTCCAGAACATTCAGAAGTAAACAGATCATGGCATTGGAAGTGTTTTTTTCTAAGATTGTATCAAAATGTTATGTACTTATAATGTATTAATAACGTTTGTCTTTGACGTGTAGTTTAATATATTTCACAATCATATTTCCATGGACACAGGCACATGGAGAACCAGTAGAAGATCATCGTAACTTTGGGACTATTGGGAAAACATTTCGGAAAGTTAGAATAGACAAGTATATACACATCTGTTACATATCTACATGGAGATTCTTTAGCTCAAGTATAAAACTAGAAAGTATAATTCATAAAGTACAATGCAGTGGCAGCAAAAGGCCACAAACTTTCATCTACGATAAAAGTGATGCCTTTGATGAGAACATAGACACAATAGTAAATAAAGCTCTGTATTCTCACCGGCCATTTAGTGATTCACACGTTCTACATCTTGATTAAAAAACACAACTCTGAAACAGAAAGTGGTAATAATGTGTTGGCGTTTCAGTCAGCAGACATTGGATTAAAAGGAGCGACTAAAACTAGGGCTGTGTTGTTGTTTTATAAATCCTACTGCAAATGTTAGCACAATGTCTATTTGGCGTCTTTCTGACCAACATTGCGATTGTGATGTTTAAAAAGTCTGATTTTGTTCAGAGTAAAATTGACAACAGTTTCCTCAAACACAATTCCCCATTTAATAAAATATTTTTAGAGTTCCAACCGCTATAGTACGACCATTTTTGTAGAAGTAAAAGATTCACTGCTAAATGTTAAATATATAAACATACACACGCTAGTTTCTTTCCTCTCTAAATTCTTATATTCAGACCTGAGCTTTTCTGCACTTCTTGACAGCTCATATAAATGAAAAAGAACGAGAAATGTATTCTTCTGCCCAACGATAAGATGAAAGATACTTGACAAACCTATAATATAGACAAATATTCCAGATAAATACCTCTAAATCGTGTGCACAATCCCAATCCCAATTATCAAAAAAATGATTTAATCGCACTGTTTGCGAATTGTTATTTGCGACCACAGAAATTATGATTTTGATTTAAGATAAGATAAAACGTTATTGATTAGAACGTTAGAGATTTGATTGTGATTAATCGTGCGCTTCTAGTAGGACCTGTCTAAAAGTAGGCCAGATACCACCTGTCTGTAATGTGCCCTTTTAAAACACCAACTTTTATATCTTTCCTCTAAGTTGGTGCATTACACGACTAAAACTCCTGCAAAGCGCGCCCTCCCAAGTGGACCAGACGAGATATTCTGTCCTTGGACCACTAGCTTTCTGACAGACAAGGAGAAGTGTTGGGCTGAAAAAGCACGCCTCGACTAACCATCGGCGTGGGAGCACTGCAGGGCACAACGCTGGACTTTTCTTCTGTCTCTGCTCAAGCCCCTCATCTCCACATGCCACGGCCGACGCAGAGAGCAGCTCCAAACGCCGCCGTATACTGCACTGTATGTCTGTGATTCTGCTGCTGTGTCATTGGAGCCACCTCTACGGGCGCTAAGTAGGACATGAACATCAGCTCCATAACCAACAACAGAGGATCTTCTTCCAAAAGGCCACGGGCTTTGCTAATCCGGTTCTTCACTGCCACTGGGTCCCTTCGCACACTATCCATCATTGTCGTGCACTTTTGGCAACAGCAAAACTAGGGCCAAGCTGGAGCCTGCCATTGTGGTCACGCCTCATAATCCATAATAAACTGCTTTTCCGTAACAAGACATTTGAATTAGTCGGTTTCAGAAGGATATTTTTCCCAGCTTGTTTTTTGACAGTGGTTCGATTCACAAACCAGCCATATTATTCTTTTGTCATCATAATTTGTATAATTTTTGACGATTATCACAGCCTCTAGATAGAATTATGAGAAATTATTCAGAGCATAATTGATATGTACTGACAAAAAACATGTCAAACTTTGTGACTGTCCAACTGTCCAAGGCTCTATAGCAGAGGTGGGACATTATATTCTTCAGGAGGACGCATTGGGATATTGTCCTATTGTGTAGGGCCGGACCCAATTTCACAATTTTCCAACATTTTTGGAATATGTATATTTTTTTATTGAACACACATCCAGATATCCAGTGTTTTATTTGTGGACATTATTAAGAGCCAATTATTACCAATAATATCATGAGTTGCACTGTTTATCCCCATATTGGGCACTTTCATTATTTCATTATTTGTTTATTTGGTAGGGACAGAACAAGAAGCATTGTTACAGGAACCGATGCTGTGTTCATAGGCCGTATAGCTAACAGCTAGTTTGCAGACCTGGTCCCTAAAACCTAGAAATACATCACATTTACATTATACATACATTATTATATTAAAAAAAATAAGTAATAAGTTATACTAAATAATAAACAAGAATACAATACAAAATACAAAAAAAAATAAAAAAATAAAAAAAATACTATAAATGATTACAGTCTTGCATTATGCTCACAAGTTTCATCCTCTGCATTTGACCCGTCCTGATGCCACCAGGGCGTCTATCAAGAGCAGTGGTCGTTGTTGTCATGATTAGTATGATGAGTATTGAGCTCATCATAAGGGTCTGGGGGCTGCATAGAAATGTGAATCGGGGCCGAACTTTGCCCAGGTCTGCTCTACGGGTCTCGCAAACCTATTCTCCATTCAATATCAATGTAATATTTGGAATGACATTGTCCAATTTATCTGTGAGCAAGTCAAACAAATCATCATCGACATATACATGAGTACGAAACCTGTTTATCCTAATCTAATTTATTCATGAGAGAAATAATCAGGATTATCCATATTTTACCCGCATAGCTCAATTTTTGCTGAAACACAGAATGAAAACATAATTTGCTGCCTATCAGGATTCTTTTGGGACCCCTTTGTTCTCTTGTCTCCAAAATTGACAAATG